TCCATGTTCTCCTTCATAGCTGCTCGTGGGGGCGGGGCAATCTTGTAATCTTCGACTTTGACAGGACCCGGAGGCATCTGGTTCAGGCACTGATGGATGATGCGTAAAGATTGTCGGAACTCTTCCATTCGGCACAGGTATCGATCGTAACAGTCACCATTCTGACCAACTGGCACATCGAATTCGACCTTATCGTAGGCATCATAGGGCTGACTCTTCCGAATGTCCCAGGGAACGCCGGAGCCTCGCAGCATGACGCCGGAGAAGGAATAGTTGAGCGCATCAGCAGCGGAAACGACACCAACGCCCTTTGTTCTGCCGATCCAGATACGGTTGTCTGTCAGGAGTTCCTCAGTCTCGTCAATGCGATCACCGAACTGAGTTGCCCATGCATAGATATCGTCCAGTAATCCAAGGGGAAGGTCTGCCTTGACACCACCAGGGCGCACATATGCAGCATGCAAGCGTGCACCTGAGACACGTTCGTAGAATTCCTGTACTCCAGTTAGCGAATAGCACAACATTTGGTGTCTTCCCATACCATGAGCTTCTCTCGCTCCTCGAAACCCCACAGGAAAGGAGTCAGAGCGCCAACATCCATAGCGTGCGAAAGAATCGACATCAGGTGATTCAATATCCTTGTGATTTCCCCAAACATGGTCCGAATGTATTTGGCTCGCTCCGGAATGTCGATATTGAGCAGCTTCTCGACGGCGAGCGAGAAACATTGCTCGTTGGTCATCATCGAAACGTAGTCAAATCGGTCGAAATATGGCAGAGCCTGGAGATATGTCTTGTACTCGATCAATTTTTCCGTCCCCCGATGTAGCAGTCCTACGTGAGGATCTGCGCGGACAATTTCTTCACCATTGAGCTCGAGAATCAGACGCAACACTCCGTGTGCGGCGGGATGTTGCGGACCAAAGTTTACTGTATAATGTCGGATCTTTCTTGTCTCGTAGTCATCACCCAAGCTCGTATCGGGGGCTTTATTGATCAAGTTGGAGTCTTGCTGGACGTGCTTGGTGAAGGTAGAATCAGTGGGACTGATGGTCGTGGATAAAGGTCCACCAGGGGTTTCGGGGTTGGGAGCAGAGATGGGCCCGGTGGTGCTAGGTTCTGCCCTTCGAGGAGCGGTCGACGAGATCGAACGGGAGAAAAGGAGCGACTGCCTCTGTCTCGAGGGAAGCTGAAGATTTGGTGTGCGGCAAAGTCGTTTTGAAGAGTGTGCGTGCCGGCTCGCAGCTCGCACAAATGAGGCCGCCATCGTCATGCTTGTCCTTTTTGGCACGAGGCCAGAAGAGAGAGGGCGCAATTGTCGTCGAGTCGATGCTTCAAGGTTGGCCGCATCAATCGAAGTAGAAGTGCCTCTCAAGTGTGCCCTTGGCCACTGAGGGAGGAAGTCAATGACAGCGACTGGGATAGCTTCGCCAATACGTCCAGCTATTACCGGAGCCATGATTGGTGGGAATTACGAGTCTCCACTAGCTTATGTAATTCCAATTTTGGAGAATCTTTTTGATTCAATTTTGTCGCTCGAGGGACATACTGCGGACAACTATTCAACTCCCCCATGGCTCCCTTACAGCACTCACACGACGGTCTTGACAGGCGGAAGGTAGGTCGCGTGTGTCTGAAGAATGTGTTACAGGACTGACTGCTGACCCCATTGGCAGGTTGTTGGTATCAACGCCGAGACCGTCACCAATATCACATCAACCGACTTCCCGGGTCACCATGCGGGCGAGGACAACTCTTGGTCGACCGACAAATTCGAGAACAATCTGAAAATACTCTTCCACCAGAATCAAAGAAATGAAGCCACATTCTCCCTTGTCGGAGTCGACGCCTCTGTCGCCAACGCTTTCCGCCGCATCCTGCTCGCCGAAGTGCCTACCTTGGCCATTGAAAAGGTCTATGTTCAGAACAACACCTCTGTGATAGCGGATGAGGTCCTCGCCCATCGGCTAGGACTCATACCATTGAAAGGAAGCCTCGAGGGTTTCAAAGAGTTCAGAATATTTGTCGAGCCGCATTCTGACAGTGGTTCGAAGGGGACGGGTTTGACGGATAGAAACACAGTGGTGCTCAAGCTAAAAGTCAAATGCGAACGAAATCCACAGGCGGATAGAAACGCGACAGAGCCAGAAGAAAAATACATCAACAGCAGCGTCTATTCACGACATATTGAATTCCAGGCTCAAGGGGTACAGGAAGTACTTTTCGACAAGGAGCCGATTCAAGCAGTTAGTCCAGATATATTGATCGCCAAATTACGGCCAGGTCAAGAAATCGACTTGGTCATGCACGCACACATGTCCAAGGGTGGTGACCACGCAAAGTTCTCACCTGTGGCAACTGCTACATATCGCCTCCTGCCCACCATAAACATCACGAAACCCATTCTAGGGGCAGACGCGCGAAAATTCCAAAAATGCTTCCCTCCGGGCGTGATCGACCTCGAACGTGTGACACCCTCGGACGCGGCTTCGGACGAACCAGCATACCACAACCGTGAAGGTGATGAGAAGGCTGTCGTCAAAGATCCCATGCGCGACACTGTTTCACGAGAATGCCTCCGGCACGAGGAGTTCAAGGGGAAAGTCAAGCTGGGTAGGGTACAAGATCATTTCATCTTCAACATTGAGAGCACCGGCCAATTCCCGAGTGATGTCTTGTTCTTGGAAAGTGTCGATATCCTGAAGAAGAAGGCGACGAGACTATTGAAGGCGTTGGAAGAAATCGGGAAATGACCACCCACGGAAAGTGATCCCCGTCCAGGACACTGAGCATGTGATATGATCATGACTTGCATCTCTTGGCGTTTCATGCATTGCAGGTTTTGTGCGCTTCTCTAGATACCTCGGATTGCAAAATCAGAAAAGTTCTTTGCTTGTGCAAACTTGGTAACAAGCAGCAGGTGACGTGGTGAATGATTCTCCTCCGAGGATCAATCCTGCTCTTCAACCAGTCTTTCAAAGTATTTCCGCAATCAGGCTGGGCCTTCGACTCTATACTCTTTTTTTCACTTCTTGTACACCAGCCGAAACTTGAAACTGATCATGAATGCCGCATCACTGACACCTACTTCCTCGCCGTCACTCACCAACTCCCTCATTCTCTTCACCAGGTTGGGTCTTGTCTGCTCTTCCAAGCTCTTCGGAGCTTGTACATATAGCGTCTTCGCTTCCGTCCTTATACTCGGCTTCTTGAGTTGGGCTTCAGCCCTTTCAGCCAGGCTTGCGAGGAAGTCTTCCAGCGTCCACTCCGGATCAATGGTTAGCGTTTGGGCTAGGTTGCCGCATACCGGGCAATCCTCCTTCTTCTCCGCCGCAAAGGTGTATGTGTAAAGGCCACCCTCGTTGGAGTCGCCCGTGTACATCATGTAATTTTCCAGAAAGGGCGCGCAGCCTGTCGCAATTTTCAAGGCCTCGTTGCAACAACTCGCCGCGATAATCGCATTTGTGGACGCGATTGCCGGGATGATGTTTTTCACCACACCCTGGGTCATCGAGTACGTTACCCCTGAGATATTGAACTCATTCGCGCGTTTCAAGGCGGTGGTGTATAACCAGGAGATGTGTTCCGGATCGTCGGTGTCGAGCGTTTCACCTTTGCGTTGTTCTTCCCACGCTATGATGTGCGCCCACTCTATACAATGTTGAGGTTGGCGCGGGATGGTGGCCAACGTGCACAAGGGCACAGCAGCACGAGGCGCATGCATGGAGAGCTGGCACTCAATGCAAGAAGTGAGACTCGGGAGGATTACTCGCGCTTGGCCTTTGAACCCTTCGGTGCCGCCATCAATCAGAGGTTTAAGGGATTCGGGGTTTTCCATGTCGACCATGTCTACCAGTGTGGCGTTTATCCAGCGCCGGGCCTCGATGCTGTCGAGTCCACATATGACTAACTTGAATTGCATGTAGTATTCTTCGTCCTTGTCCTGGATCTTACCATTGTAAGGGGTGATCTTGACGCCAGGAACGCGTTTCTCCACGAATGCCGCGGCGACTTCAGCTTTAAATTTTCCTACATCGGACTGGCGGAAGAGGAATTGACGGTTCAAATTGGACACATCGATGGTGTCCATGTCGATAACGTGAATATCCTTGAAGCCGGACAATGCGAGGTTCTTCAGAATCTCACATCCTAGCCCGCCGGCGCCGATCACAAGGACTCGTGACGACTCCAGTGTATTGATGGTCTCTTCTCCAGGTACAAATTCATCTCCGGCATATGGTGAGGTGGTTGATAGAAGACGGTCAAGATAGGTCCTTGGATTCATGTTAGATATGGGCACTCAGCACAACCTTGGATCAGGCTTACCATCGATCGCGTGGAGGTGTGGGAGTGCCATTTGTGAGAAGTGATGAGATGGGTATCGACATGTTGAGTTTAGGACTAAGCGGTCCTCGTCGGGGACTGCCCAGGGTGGAAATATCTGAGAACGAAGAAGTGATGGAGTCGCAGCTCGATAGGTAGTCAGCCAAACAGAGGAGGCTTTCTCTGAGGTTCCTGGCTCGTCACACATGCATTGGCTGGGAGACACAGCATGTCAAGAGCCCACCGTCAGCCCTTAAAGTGATATATCGCATCAAGCCTTGTGGAATGGCACTGAGAAGATTGATGCTCGGAAAGTTGTAGGGCGAGGAGGTCTTGTGTAAGCTTCTGACCTCCGTTTTCCTGTGTACAGTACTTCGTGCCTTGTAGGTCATTGGTACCTGGAAGGTGGCGCATCTTGGCGGAGAAGGCGGGCACACCCAGGCGGTTAGTATTATTATGTCACGGGCACCATTGTATCATTCGAGTACCCAAGCACCCAAGCAGGTGCCCGGCTTCCCAGTACCTTGTACCTAGAGTGGCCTGTGGCAGAAAGCACCTGGGCGGTCACGCAGGCAGCCTTGTCCCTGGCTGTGGCCTCACACACCTCGTCCTCTTCGAACATTCGAGCAGGCTGCGCCATTCGCCTCAAATCACCACAACAGTATGCAACTGCAGACATGGAAAGTCTATTGGAGCCCGTCAAGACCACCCGCAACCTGCAGAATAGCATCAATAACCTCGAAGCCCTGTCGCTAAGGGAACCAGTGCCTGCATCACGCACAGCCACTGGCAAACCCAAGATATCTGTGCTCGACATCACAACAGAGACCAGCGACAACGCAAGCGATACATTTAGTCTCCGTCCATCGACTGAGACGTCTATAGGTTCGACATCTGCAGAGACACAAAAGACGAATCATAAGCGTCTCGACTCCACTGCATTCCTTCGAAAGAGTTACTTGGACAAAGCCCCCCAAGCCTCCCTACCAGATGATGCGCTTGAGATTCTGAAGAATCAGCCAAATACTGAAGACCTGGCAGCGGTTCTACAGTATCTCCAGTATGGCATTGAAGGGAGACATGACTTCAATATCCACGTCCCCGGCCCGAAGGCTTCCCAGATCATCAACGTACTTGTCACCATCACCATCCCTGATCAATGGCTTCATCTGCGACAATCTACTCTTTCGAGGACAAATACGCAGCTCAGGTCAGCACTGCTACTATCACTTACTAGTGTCGCAGGACTCGGGGCACTCTTGATGCATATCAGACGCCTCTCTTCTCTCACCACCAGTCAAGATCGGTCAGTTATGGAAGATACTGTTGCTGTATTATCGTCAATCCTCGCTGGCAACATGATTATATCAAAATTTCTATCCCATGCTACTAGAACTATTCCCACAGATACACAGCGCCGCGTATTCTGGCAAGAGGCGACAGCTCTACTTGCAGGCAGCAAGATCCTCACATCCATGTCTCAAGTCCTTGCCACGATTCGGGATCTGGATGGGCTAGGAGAGAATGAGAAATGGCTTGGAGACGGAAACGAGTACTCAAGATGGCTTGGATGCAATATTTCGACCGCCGCAATGAGCATCAATGCATCACCCGGTTCCAATACTCAAGAGATGAGCCTTCTCTGCCTGGTTCTGAAGAGGGGGCTTAATCTTGGGTATCGTGGTATAACTTGTCCGGGCGTATCTACATAGAAACCTTGCTGACCAAAGGATAGATACACTCATCAGCGAGCTCTACAACTCACTACTGCTTGGTAAACGAGCGTTGTGGACTCCAATGCACATGTTGGTCCAGGGTCTCCCAAACTACGACCAAAAGGTTCTCTTTGATACCGTCCTGCGAGACCTTGCACGGAGATCTTTCGGAAGCGGAGCAAGTATTTTGGAACCCAAGGAATTGCTGATAATGAACACCTCCATTGTTGGAGGAGTGGCAGCCCTGATCAGTGGACTTGTGCAACACAATCCCATTCTAGAAGCGCATGTTATCCACTGGCTGACGAGCACGAACGGAGAGTATGCTGGCCTCGGCCTCGACGCCCGTAGGGCCGTGATTGCAACCTTGGCAGCGAGGCAGAGTAAATCACAGTGTCATACTCCTTTGCGGCAGGCTAACTGGTACCAGGCAAACTTGAACAAGTTCTTGAGAGAAGCTTGGAGAACTTTGGGAATAAAATGCAAATTCAGCGCGATGCCATCCTGCAGCAGGAGTGTAAGTGAACTCTACAAAGTCCGCACACTATTCGATGCTTGTGCCAGATGGAAGATCCTGTGCTTACATATGCTTGGGCTTTTGTAGCGACCGCCCAGATCATCATGCTTGCTTTCGGCTACCTCAATCGTTTGGATCATAGCGCGGCCAAGAAGGTATCAAGTTCCGGCGTTTTCATTCGGACAGTTTCCAATCGACTTTCTGCATCAATACCTCGTGCCCGGCTTTTGGGGATGATAGTTGCAGTCGCAGTCTCGAGACTAGTAGATGAGCCGGGAAAGGTCATGAACTTTGGCGTCGAGGAGATGGAAGGGGAGGAGGTGGAGCGATGGTTGAATTTGGTCAACATACACGATGCAGTGGGGAGTTTGGATCAACTCCTAAAGAAAACGGCCGAGCCCTTGAAAAAGCGCCCATTACAGGCCACGCCAAAACCTCTGCGTCGCAAACGTTTAGCAGCAGAGTCACGACCTCAAAGTTCTAAGATCATGGCCATTGAAGAACTTCCTGATTCAGACGGAGAAGATTCGACTGGGGAAGAGGAGGATCTACCCCCTTACCCGCCACCAGATTCCGACCCTTCAGATTCTGACGAAGATCCTACACTGGTCAATCGCAACAAACCCACCCCTCCTGTCTACATCTCGTCTCTGATCAAGCAGCTCAACACTGACAACGACCCTCCCGTTGTTGAACTAGCAATCAAGACTGCTCCTTCGTTGATACGTCGAAAAGCTAACTTTGGGGACGAATTGTCAGCGAATATCTTCCAACTGGCTTCATCTCTTGTCAATTTGCAGGAAGGAATGTCAAAAGAAGACTTGCAACAATCCAGACTGGAAGCCGTGATCGCATGTCTGGTTGCAAAACCCAGGTTAATGGGACCCTGGATCATTAGCACCTATTTCGAAGGGGATTTCTCTTTGGCAACACGTGCAACCCTCTTGACAGCAATATCTCTAGGGTCAAGAGAGCTGGCAGGAATCGACGATGACATTGACAATCCCTCTGCGACCAAAGGTCTACACGAACCCTCATTCCCGTCGAATCGATTACCACCTCGTCTTGAACCGCACTATTCCTCGGCACCGGTTGACACCATTTCGACGAACTTGTCTTATCGCACACTTCAGCCTATGGCCCTACAAGCGGCCGACAAGCTGACTGGACCAGGTGTGCTCAAGGTCCGAACATTCTCTTCGCGCATGGAAGTCGCCGCCAAAACAGCGGCGAAGCTCGAAGCCCGGTCCAAACGCATTCCAAAGGATCTACACAAGCTTCTTGCCGAAGCACTGTATCTACCAATGTGTTCGCGACTATCGCTTCTCCTCACCTCACTAGTCACATCACCTTACCTGGCGAATTCCACCCTCCTCCACCCCTCATTGGTGAAGCTAAGCCTGCAAACACTCATAATCATCATTTCCACCATAGGTCCTAACGCTCTACAACTCCCTGCGTTGACCCACGAATCCCTTTTAATGTTGACAACACTCCACACTCTTCCTGCTCTCGCACACGACCCAATCATCCTGCCTCCAATTCTTCATTTGATCCTGACACTGCTGGATCTCAATATCGAAGCTGGGAAAACTTCCGAGGAACGGCTGATTACAGACTTTGGCCCCATGTTTGCAGAATTAGTGTCGTGGACTAGAAGCCTCGGAGATCACGCTTCAATCCCTGAAGTTGATAATGATCCTGGATTGGGAATGGCAATGCCCTGGTCTGTCCTTGCAGCAGGGATACAGGTCAAGTGGCAGGAAGTTGGACGGAAATTCCAGGGTAGGATGTTGGGTTTGATGGCAGGCACAGACTTCGACTCGTTTTAAGTGTCGAGTCCGTTATTCTGCTGGTGGTACTTCTAGTTTGACCAAGCTAGGACGTGAGAAAGACACAATGCTGTCTTCCACCTGAGTTGGTTGGAGTCATGATCCTTGGGAAATGTTACAAAGCGCCCTCTAGAATGGATATGGCACCTTCAACTACTGACATGTCTAGACCTACTTACAGAACTACTTTCTCCTCCTATATATAAATTGGGAGCTATATGCAGCTGGAACATAGCCTTGCTTCTCGACATCAACCGAAGGTAGCGTTCTCTTTGCCCCTTAACGAGACGGGAATGGGATGACGAAAAAGGAGAACTGCAAGGCTGGCGCTCAATACGGGGCAAGTTGGCAACAAGCCATAGATGTTGCCAAGACGCTATACCAGATTCAACTTTTTCTCGCCAATGGTCGCAGTTACATATGTACCTTGGATGCAGATGCTACAGAAAGACCTGCGTCTCTGCTCCATTTGGAATCAACCATTCCCGCATTGCTGATTTTAGGTCTCTGCGTCTTATATTTTGCCCTACTAGCCTTCAGGTGTCGAGATGTAAGCATATGGTATTGTTCAAGGTGAAATTGGCCTGCTGATGAAAGAGCCAGGTTTTCCCTACGCCGTTGTGCATCGCGCTTTCTCACTTCCAGACCTTCCCTTATCTCTTCTTCAAGAACATACTCCTCTGTCAGTACTACTCCGTCCCGATTGATCGGTAGAACCACCGCCCCTTATGCTCAGCAACGGCGATATGCTACAACTCAAGAAAAAGACAATAAACCTCCGACCACTGGAGTCGAGCCTACAAAATCTGCTCCCGTTGCTGCAGAATCGGCAAATATCACCGAAGCTACAGATGAATCCCTTCCGGCTGCGGTGATCAATGAAAAGCTCACAGCTGAGACCGGTCCTGCACCGACCGGTTCTGCGCCCGCAGTTGCAGAGACCGCCAATGCAACCGAAGCAACAGAGGAGGCATTGCCTGCTGCTGAGACGGGCGAAAAGTTGGCAGCTGATGTAAAATCTACACCTTCCCAGTCAGCGACCCTGAGCCATGCTAGCATGTTTGACCGGAAGCCCACACTATACATTGGCAACTTGTTCTTCGATGTTACTGAAAGCGACCTCGTCAAAGAATTCGCTCGTTTCGGACCTGTAACCAAGTGCAAGATTGTTCGAGACAGCCGTGGCTTGAGCAAAGGGTGAGTTTCTGCTGAACTGCGGCCTATGACGCCTTGCTAACACTGTTTTAGATTCGGGTATGTCGACTTCTCAACACAAGAGGCTGCAGACGCAGCTATGGAGCGTCTCAACATGTCGCTCTTCGAAGGTCGTCGCATCACAGTCCAGTATGCTGCGCGCCCGAGCGGCGTACTTGACAACCAGAACGTCGAGCGCAAGCCGCTCAACCCTCCTTCGAAAACTCTCTTCATTGGGAATATGTCCTTCGAAATGACCGATCGTGACCTCACGAATTTGTTCCGTGGTATCAGAAATGTCATCGATGTCCGGGTGGCCATTGATCGACGCACCGGACAACCGAGAGGATTTGCGCATGCTGACTTCATTGATGTCAAGAGCGCCATGGAAGCAATGAAGGTGTTGCAAGAGAAGGAGATCTACGGCCGGAGATTGAGAGTCGATTTCTCATACTCGTCAGCGAACAGGGCTCCAAGGAACGATCCGCCTGCTGAGAATAACTAAACTGCCTCGAACAGGAAGCCCTCGTCGCTTTGTTGTCTGAGTCAGCCCCCGTCCTGTCCTTGCCGCAGTGCATCACCTTGTTTCGGGCAAAGACAACCACTTCCAGTCGCTTGCCCCACGCTCCTAAAGTTCCAAATTTGAGTGAAGCCGACCCGAGATTCAAGGGACCTGTTTCTTCCGGGTGGAACTGTGACCACCGACTCTCCCTTCGGCGCTCTCTTCACCGTGAATTCAGAAAAGGATCACGGGAGCATACATGCACTGAAGGTCCACCAAACGCATGGAACGTACAATGGGGAATGATTGCCAGGCTCGGGCAGTGCGGCAGGTTCAAGAGTGCGGCTTCTCTCTTCAAACCTATATTTGTAACAATGTAACACGAGCGTGCTGGAATATGGTTGTGAGGCTTGGGTGTACATGTTTTACTATGACCTGCTATGCTTATAGTTATCAATACGCAGGTAGATGGTTTGAAGGGGCAAAGGCTGAAAGAGGATTTTTGGCCACAAGCGGGGGACAGCCACGAGCAAAAAAAGGGGGCGAATGTGAAAATTGGTGAAGACCAGAAAGGAGCACCATTGCTTGAACGTCTCTCGCCTGTCAGCACGAGTAGATAGTCATGATACTCGGTGTGTACGATTGTAATATAGAAAGATAATCTCCATTCCCTGACGAAACACCTCAGACCTGAAACACCGCGAGGCTAATGTATCTAGGATACCAAGACCATGGACCGAACTATTCTTGATTCATTAATGCCTGATTAAACAGTCTTACCTCTTGGACAGGCGGGGCCTTTCTTTCTTCCTTCTACCCAGCTTTTTCTCATATTCTTTTTCAGTTCACTAGCTCATTATTGGATGAGGATGAAGATGAGGATGAGGATGATGTGATCGAGCGGTGCGGAGGGGGTGGAGCCGTTGACGGGTGTGGTTACCCGACCAGAGAATAGAATCATCGCGGGGTCAGCTTGACTTTGAGCTCGTCGACGAAGATGCTCATGGTGCGGACCGTCTCGAGGTCTTGCTTGGGGTTTAGCAATTCGATCTGTATGGTGAGAGAGAAGGGGCGTCAGTTTGAAGACTCGATCAAGAAGAGACATTCGGGAGGTTAGTCGTCAGACAGAGATGGAGGCAAGCAGGCAAGCAAGCAAGCAAGCAGGTAAGTGAGTGGAAGGGAGGAAGTGAGTAGATGAGTTAAGTCTGGTGAAGAGAGCGTATAGGGCAGGACGTTTCAAAGTAAAGTCCAAAAAGCATAAGCAGAGCGGAATGAGGCTTTGTAGAGCAAGAAGAACCAAACGAACGAAACCCTCAGAAGGAGAAGGGGAAAGGGGGCACGATGGAGAGGAAGACGTACATCGAAACGATTCAATAGCTCAGGAAGAAATTTCTTCATCTCCACCCACGCAATGTGTTGTCCGACGCAAGTCCTCCTCCCTCCGGAGAAGTACAGATTGGCGCGCTCCATTTGAGAGAGTTGTCCCTCGTCGGCCTCGATCCATCGTTCCGGTCTGAACTCGTCGACTCTGTCGCCCCAGATGGACGGGTCGCGATTCAAGGCGTGCGTATTGATTGCAACGACAGTACCAGGCGGAATGTAGACGCCGGAGATCTGCATGCCAGCGCCGTCAATGGGGACCTCGCGCTCCATCGGGTCAAGCACAAGCGGTTGTAAGCGGCTGGCTTCCTTAAAACAGGCTTCCAGATAGCGGAGCCTCGAGACCGACTGCCATGAAGGCGGAGAGGCGAGCTTTGCATCTTCGAGCTCAGCCTTCAACTTGGCCAGGGTGCGTGGATTGGCGAGAAGGTAGTATAAGGCGACGTTGAGGGACGCCGCCGTAGTTTCGGCACCCGCATGAATCGTCGAGATGAGGAGGCCAATAATGGTTGATCTGTCAAATGTGGCGGGATCACGCTCACTTGCCTGCAGATACCGGTCGAGAAGGTCGGAATGGGTGCCCAACCCACCCTTTTCAAGCCGAGTTTGAAGGCGTTCTGTTGCAAGTTTAGCAAGGACAGATGTCCCGCTCGTGCCCCTGGTAGCGAGGCGGTTCTTGTAAATGAGCCTTTCAAGTTTGGGCAGGGCTTGCCAGTCGTGCCAATGTCCGAAGCGCAGACGGGCAGCTTCCAATGTGTTTCCAAGGTCTGACTGCTTTTCCAAGAAACCCTGATCGTCGCTAAAGGCGATGTTACAGATGGTGTCAAAAGCGAAGAAGATGACCAATCTGGCGATGTTCAGCTCCGAATCCCCATTGATGAGCCGGTACATCAGATTGTTGATATTGCTGTCGATGTGGGACTCGTAGTCAAGGATGGCCGTGGTTGAGAAGGCGCCAATGATCTGCCTCTTGATCGTGGAGACGCGGGCTTCGTCTCGCTCAGTAATAAAGGAGCTTATCAGCTTCCCATTAACTGCTTGTAAGGCTATCTCGTACGATTCTGCCTATGAAGAGGAGGCGAGTCAGCCCTCGCTGGAACTTTTGGAACGGCCGAACATAATACATACCTTGGGCAATGCATTCCTAGTGCTGAAGACGACACCCACAGCCGACGCATCACTGAACAAGACTCTGTTTGGGCCGTACCTCACAACCGAGCCATACTGCCTATCCAGCGCTAGAGCGATAGAATCAAAGTATTCGTTATTCCAGGTCTTCCTAAACAACCATAAGTTGGTGAATTTGGCCGCAAGAGGGCCTGGGATATGTCTCAATCTCCAGTATTGAACGATGGACCTGAGAATGATATACGCAATGGCGACTGCCCCCAGAAGTAGGGGAATCGTCATAGGGGACCCAACAGAAGCGATCATAGTATAGAATGGTAGACAGAAATTCCTTTTCTTCAAGGCAGGGGAACGAATAGAAATCCAGGTAATGTTGTCATGTACAAGCAACAATGTACGAGAGACTTATGATGACCCGAAACGTTGGAGACTCCTTTATATGACCATTCTAGCTTACCTCTGGTTTTTGTGATTTGGATACCTCACTTTGGGTGGCCGAACAGGTCCACAACCTTTGGCGGCCTGAAGCAGGATGCAACTGGGAATTAAGTAAGACGATCTCATGAGTTCCTGTTCGGCGCGTTTCGTACTAGTGAGAGTATTCGCGTATTCGTATGCCATGCGTGGCTCGAGTGGATGGTAGAGGACGGATTACATAAACCGCAGGGTGTTGCTTGCAATCGTTGATCCTGCCAGGTGTAGAGACTGGTCCTCGCCTTCTTAGGTATCACCATCGCGGCCCGCAGACGGCTTGCGGCCAGCAGATAGCACCAGAAGATACTTCAGAAGAGCAGTCCGAAGGATTTGGAGGCGGCATGTTGCAATGTGTCGTAAGGAATCTGAGAACCAGCATCTGAGGCTAAGGAGTGAGGCCTTGAACATCGTATTAGGGATACCCTTGTCAGCACGACTTGCCGAAAGCTTGTACAGATACTTGCTTCTCGGTGAGTGATAGCCTTTCACTGCTTGATTATGTTGACATTGTGTGTGGTTGATGTATGGTGAAGTCACCTTGCTTAGGCCTTGCTCATTAGTCAACCCCGCCGATTAATTGCGGTTTTAGGGGAGAGAGGCGAGACTCAAGGAGCAATACTCGACAACGGAGAGGTTTCTGACATTTTCTAACGTGAGACGGCCACTGTAGCCGACAATATCTCGACAAACCTGAATGGGGAAGTGGGATAAAGGGACAGAGCGTAGAGAGGCAGGTACACCGAGTATAGGCTGTGGGGTGCATGGCACGTGTATCGTTGTGGTCGTTCTTGCCGTCCTCGCCGTGCCTCCGGCTATCGGCTAAACTGGTGGCGTCTCAGCCTTTTTCTGTCTCGGAGAAACACTTTTTCCGCTGCGGTTCTTCATCCTTCTAGACTTGGATACCTGGAAGACTTGCCAGTGCCTCGGTTGCCGCCCCTGCGCCCGCAGCAGACCCGGACCAGGGCCTCCGCCAAACTATGTACGAGTACTCGGTATAATATTATTAAACCAGTTCCATCGCCATCACTGCCGTACTTACAAAAACGTGACTTGACCTGCCCCAAGAAATCAACACGCTCCATCGATTTCTCCCTCTCTTAACCTCTTCAACTCACCTCTAATCAACGACAATGTCTTTTCTTGGGGGCGCCGAGTGTTCAACTGCGGGCAATCCGCTTACCCAATTCAAAAACCATGTTCAGAGCGACAATACCCTCCAACGGGACCGCCTCGTCGGTCGGGCGCAGCCTGGCCTCGAGGAGAGCATGCGGTCACGCATGACGCCCAATGGCTCTGATCAGGTATTGATCTCATACAATGCAGGAAAGGACACTGCTAACTGCGGGCTAGATGATGAACGACTTCATGCAACAATCGGGAATGCCCCAACCCTTCGCAATGGAGCAACTACGACACGACCTCCCCAACCTTCAAGGGATAACGAGGCGATCACCTTCCCCCGGCTGGGCCGCAGAGTTTGACCCGGGCGAACAAGCAAGAATGGAGGCAGCTTTTGTGAATCCCAGGCTCAATGGTCAGAGTCAACCAAGGTTTTCGCCACAGGAATTTGCTCGCTTCCAACAAGCCCAGGCGCAACGAACAGCAAGCCCCATCATGCAGTCCCCATCCATGATGAGCAGCTATCAGAGCCCGATGGGTATGGGATATATGGGTGGCATGAATCTCGGCATGAATTTTGGATCACTACATATGCAACAACAACCCGAGCAAACTACCGACAAGGGAAAGGGGCGCATGGTGGAGCTTGATGATGCCAACTGGGAAGCTCAGTTCAAAGAACTCGAGTCGCAGCACGACAATATCTCAGAACAGGCCAACGAAGCAATACACAGAGAACTCGAGGAAATGGACAGGTCAGTAACATCTCCCGTGGACGGATTTGAAGATTTTGAGAGAGTATGGCATGGAATCCAAGCTGAATATACATCCAGAGAAATGGCCGAGGAAGCTTACAAAGAAGAGCCATTTACTGCAGAAGATTTGGCTGCCTGGGAAAACTT